CTGGGCGAGGGGAGCGGGGTATTTGAGGGAAGAGTGAGAAAGAAGCTGAGGAGGCGTGGTTGTGCGTCGGTGTTAAGGAGCTGATGCGGAGGGCCGCCGTGCAACGAGAGGCATCGGCTAAGCGGAGCATGGTGTTTATGAGGGCCTTTGCAAAGGGGAATGGAAGATAGAGGTTGAGTTCTAGTTCAGCTTTCTTTGGTGACTCCATCAATTTTTGGATTCAGGAAACGTTATTTTGAGTGTTGACGACGAGCCGACTGGACGAATAAGCTGTGTGTGAAGATTTTCTTAATTATAGGGCTTGATCAATGGAAGACGACAAAGACTGCGCAGGAAAATGATTTCGAGATTAATTAATTTATTAATAAAATTATTGTATTTACTGAAGACTCATTAACAAACAAATTATTTCTTAACATTAAATATATATTTCTTAGCTTTCAATAAATCTCTGAACGCTTATTAAATGGATAAGGGACAACAAGATTTTTTAAAAATTAAAATTTGTTATTAGAACAAGGTAATTCATAATATAAAGAAAATTTTGTCGACATTATTTTATAAAAAAGCAATATTAAGGACACATAATGAGTTAAAGGATGACATTATTAATACACAATTTAAAAAGATCAAAGATTTGTCAAATAAATAGCGATTCAAAATACGTCAAATAAATAAATCTATTCTAAATACGCTATTATTATTGGCCATTTAACTCAAATTTGAAGATAAAAGAGAGTTCGAGCGAGAAGAGGAAGCTGAATGTGCCAAATTCTTGTCATGATTCACTTTGGAAAGTCCAAGAGAGAATAATTTTATAGAGAGAGAATAGAGGTAGAGAAGACAAAATGGGAGAGAGAATAAAACAATAATAGTTAGTGAGACAGTGTGAAGGGAAGGTGGATGGGGAGAGACGAGATTCTAAATTTTTTTTTGGTACTTAAAGAAAATTTATTAACTAATATTATAGTAGAATATTTTTATAATATATTATATGTGAAAATAAATCTTTGATTAAACAGATTTTTTAATTATTAGCAAAAGTTAACTCATGACTTTTTTTTTTTCTTTTTCTTTTTAAAATTTTAAGGAAAAAGTTTAAATAAAAATTTATTAATAAAAAGAAAATAGTTCATTCATATAATTATTAATCAGTGGATTTAAATATTCTCCTTTATATGATTCTGCGGTTTAATTTCTGCTCCTTTTCTAACTCAATAGGCTTGCACTTAAATAAGCTTACCCTTATTCCTCATTAAAAATATATTTATATAAATAGGGAATAACAATTACAAATGCAAAGCATTTGATAGATAAAATATACGATTATATATAGTGAAATTTACAAAGGTGATTGCAAAATTTGAACATCAAACTATGGAATTAGTGGCCATAACTTATCATTTAATAGTGAGGCCATAATTTGTCATTATTATTATTTTGTAGGTTTGATAAGATCGAGCTTATTTAGATTTATTTGATTAACAAATCAAATAAATTTGAATACTTTTATAAAACTCTATTATTAAATGAATAAGCTTAAACACCTTATTCCTCGACATATTTATTATCATAAATAATATTATTTAAAGTTCATGATAAAATCACTAACAAGCAAGCATGAGCAAGAGTTGATAGAAGCTCGAGTAATATTTGATATTATATTTGATATTAAGTCTCGATATCATGTTTGATGCTAAGGCCCAAAGTAGTTTATAAAACAAATTAATATTAATATTAACCATTTAAAAATATAAAATAAAACTATGAATTTGATTAAAAATTAAATATTTACTAACTAAATACATCCATTATTCAAAATTGATTGAGAAATCATCTCAATTTTACACTCGTAGATTGAGCAAATGGCCATGCGTTGTCATGGCACTACCAAAAATCTAAAATTTTAACAACAAATGATAGCATCAGTTTTAAAATAATTGACATAGGGAGGTATAAATAGTTGTTTTAACCGTTGTCAAAACCTTACTTATTTCTTCCTATTTTCCTGCCCCAGTCGCCTGTTCCACACATTCGACACTGTTGGGTTCGCCTCTGGGACACGAGAGGGAGGAAGCGAAAGGATGGCGAAGTTCTCATCTAGTCGGCAGAGAACAATTGGAGGTTTAAAGAATTTGATCACAAAATTTCATTTGTCATTTTTTTTATTTATTTCTACCCTTTAGCAGCAGTGTTAACACCTGCTAAAAAACGCTGCTAAAGTCTTCCTATAGCAACACTTATAAAATCGTTGCTAAAGCCTTTTCCGCGAACACAAATACAGCGGATTTGCAACAGTTTATAAACTGCTACAAATAAATTAGTAGGTGTTTAAACCGCTCATGTAGGACCTAAAAGAAGCTATGAAAGTCTAATTTATTAGTAGTGTGGGTTTTTTTTTTGCAAATAAATATTTATTTAGTAATTTTCTTGCACATATTTCCTTTAGAGATATTAGACACCAAATTCAAGCATAAAGGATAGCATAAATTTTTTCAAATTTGACATTATTCCAAGATTAGAAATCAATTTTTTCGAAGCCTTCCAATGACCCGGTTAGGAGAGTAGATTATTAGATTTGACCTATGTTAAGAATGAGAGAGGTAGACCTAAAAAAACTTGATTAGAAAATACTAGAAAAGACCTTGTTTATTATATTTAAATGAGAACTTGACTCTTCATAAGATACAATGAAGAAAAATTATTCATGTAGCCGACCGCACGTAGTGAGATAAAGGTTTGAAGTTGTTGTTGTTGACATTATCATATATAGTATATATCAAATCATCAACATAAAAGTAAACCATATGCATTTTTGTTGGATCTTCTGGGAGGAAGATGAAGTTTCTCTTGAACTTCTTAAATGAGAGAGAAAGAAGGGAGGAGAGCGAGATTGTAGTGAAGTAGAGATATCTTTATTACTTGGCTTGAGTCTTTGAATATTATAGCCATTATACTTATATATAGACATAAATGGGAACCACAAAGCTACACAATAACCTAAAGAAAGTACACCTATATTAAAGCTAACTGAAAATATAAAAAAACATAATTAAGTTGGATCACAAAAACTTAAATCTTATATCTTGTAAGTCAGTCCTAAGGCTTTGTTTGGCATAAATTCTTATTATTACTATTTTACTTCTTTCAAAAATTTGCAGGTAAATTAAATTGTCCCGAACAAAACTTAAATCTTATTCTTCTTATAGAACTTTGCAAATCCGTATGAGTTGTATTCCCCATCATGACCATTGTAAAAAATCTTTATAAGCATGCCACAATTAGAGCACTGAAGTTTTTTAAGCTAAAAAGACCTAGTTTTAAATTATAATCATTAATAAATGTTATAAAATAATGTTTGCCACCATTTGTTGTTGGATTAATTAGCCCACATATATTGTAGGGAACTAGCTCTTGCACCTTTGCTCATCATTATTTTCCTTTCAAAAATCGTCTTGATATTATTTGCTGACAACACATTCTTTACAAATTTGAAGAGGACTATGAATTTGCGTAAAACCGTCACCGTGTTTGTTAGTTGTTCTGTTTTTCAGATAACAAAAAGTTCTAATCACAACAACGACAACAACAACAAGTTTTTGTCCCACTATGTGGGGTCAGCTACAAGAATCATTTTTCTTCACTGTGTCCTGTTAAAAGTCAAATTCTCGTTTAAATCTAATAAAGAATTCCTCTAATGCAGCCTTATCGTTTCCCTCATGTGGTCCTAAGGTCATCTCCACATCATTTTTCACTTGAAAATGTAATAATAGTCATATCAAATAATAATTTATCTTCAACAGAACTTTATTTCTAACATTAAAAAAATATATATTCCATATAGATTCTTCTCATCTCATTTTCACAAAAAAGAGCTTTCTGTTAATAGTGCATAAAAGAATATTACAGTTCGGTTGGAAATGCCCTAAATCAGTTGGTGTAACCCCATATTCTACCTCAGCTTTCACCGGTCCTCTCGCATTCTAAATTTAGTTCTTTAGGTTGCCTCTCTTCCTCTCTCATTTATAAACTAGGTTTTGCCTCTCTTTGCTGATCACTGTTTTTTAGTGCATTTGTTGTAGTATAAAATTTCATAAATAGAAATTAGGCGCTACATCACAACTCCTAAGACATTAAAAAATGTAAAAATAAAAAAATAAAAAGCAAGGGTAAATAAATTACTGATCTATTAGATAAAAGAAAAAAAAATATTGAATTTCTTTTTTTTTTTGAACGGGGTATCCACCCGCTGTCACTCTCGAAAAGAAATTTAACAGCATGACTAATTCTAGGCAGACCTAGAAGAGACATCCACCACAGAAACCTCCTAACTTGTATTTGATTTGGCCCTACTTAAGAGGTATTGTTACTCAAAAAGAGTCGAGCAGGAGTTAGGAGCTCTAAATCGTATTCGTCCACTAAACAAAGGTGGGTGTGATGTGATATATTAAATTCAGATAATTGCTGGTGTGACAGGTGAAC